CCGCCACCACCGCCTGCGCGCCGTGGCTGACGACGCTGTCGACCGCCATGGCGATCGCCTGCAGGCCGGACGAGCAGAAGCGGTTGATGGTCGCAGGCAGCACCGCTCCCGGCAGCCCCGCCCCCCGCACCCCGCAGCCCCGCCCCCTTGGACCCCGCCCCCGACACTCCCGGACCCCCGCACCCTCGTTGGGGCCCCGGGGCCGGTGCTCGACAACCCTGATGCGGAGCAAGCTCCGTGTGGAGTCTGTGCGATGCAGCCAAGGTTACATAATGTCAAATGAAAGCAAATGTCTGGTATACACATCCTCTTTTTTTTTCTGTTTTTTTCCATAATGGCGTTGTAGAGGTCAGTAACTAGGTGCACAGTGATCACCTAGAGCAGTGGGCCATGGATGTTCTGGAATATGAAACCACCTCCCATACCATCCTCAAGTCAATACTCCTAGTGCACCCCCTATCCGACTATCCTTCCTCAGTGTGACCAACACACAGGACCATTACCCTACCAATGGGCAAGCAACTTGGACCAAACAGCAGTGATAGGCACCAGGGCTGATAGGTTGCCCAACCCTGGTGGAAGCGGAATCGGACGAGCCTTGTCGAAAAGGAACTTCGAACGCCAGACCCAAAAAATGTACTACAGGCCCCAAGAGACTATGGACCCTAGGTTCAGACAGGGTAGCACCCAATGAAGCAGTCTGGCCGTCCTTCCCCTAGCTTACCCAAGGCCAGGCGGAACTCAGACTCAGTCTGGCCTGAGCGACTTATGTCCCTACCCTTACCCTAGGGTCTAAGCCTTATATAGCCTCCAGATAGTTTTATCTGAATGTCGGTAGGAACCCCTTACCTGAACCTATTGCAGATACTAGACCTCACTCAGTGACTAGACCCCCCCAGTCTGATAGTTATGTAGTTCGCGAGCTATGTGTATACCCGAAGGTTGTATATGCTCGGTGAATCTATATATGGAGATGTACATACAACATCATGTGTGAAAACTTGTGTATGTAAGTCGTAGGCCATGTATAGTTCGCAAGCTATGTGTATGCCCGAAGGTTGTGTGTGCTCTGGAATCTATGTATCGAGATGTATAGGCAACGTCATGTAAGTATATCGAAGAGAGAACGGGGCAAGCTCGACAAGGACCCCCCTCAAAGTCCGAACCAAGCTCGAACCCATGACCTTGTAATATGGAATCGAATGACTCTACCATATGAACGACTATGGGAAATGTCACGAACGTGTGATATGGCAGAAAGGGGAGATTAACAGAACACACGAGACTAACACCCCCAAGCAACCCATGCGAAACCCAGAACCAACATATAACACCATGAACAAACCCTTGGGTGGTGTTCAACAGTTTTTGTAATAGTACCATGCATCAACATAAGGGAGTGTATGTCCAACCATGCGTCAATCTAACGCCCTGTCGGTGTCCATGCGAGGGGCTGCAATTGAGTTTTGAACCCGCAACCTCATACCACAATGCGCATTTCCATCCTGTGCTCTAACCACTGTGCTACGTCAACTAACAAACAACAAAAAATGAAATGTGGCAAGATACAATCCTAAAGTCCTAGAGGCAATTGCCTCATAGCTGAAGAAAAAAGAAAGGAATATGTCACAAGATAATGTCGTGTCGCGGAACCACTAAGAGAGGGATGGTTGCAGAGAGGGTGAATGCAGCCTAAGGATCGGAACCCCTAACAGCAGTCACACACGAAGGTGGAATAGGCCATCAGGCTCACGTTGAGGGAGGGGTAGTGAAGAAAAACCAGTGACCGTGATAGATAGACCATCACGACGAGTAATGATTAACGAAAGGGTGACATCATGCAGGGTCTACCATGAAAAGGGAGCCTGGAATAGTGTGGAGATATGCCTAATTAAAGGCATGTAATGGCCAGCACTAGGGTGATGAGGGTAGTGGGTGAGGGAAACATACACACAACTCACCGACTAGACAGGGAGTTAGGGCAAGGAGCAGGGAAATCAAGATAACGCTACGGTTATAATGTTTATATGATACCAAGGGAGAGCCGAACTCAGGGAAAACCAGCTAACTGAGAACTATCACACTACACATACAAGAGAATACACAAGGTAGGGTGGTGGCGTGAAGTAGTAACGTTCAAAGTAGTTGAAGCCGATAAGGTACTAACTGAATTCGTCGAAGTGGTCGATGGCATCGATGAAGTAGAAGTCCAGTCGATGTTGAAGCAGAGTCGCAGAACGCTGGCATCCAGAAGAAGTTGATGATATAGTACCTGAAGGTGTGAGTCAGTAGGAAGATAGTAGGTGATCTGAGTGTTTCGAGACGTCGAGGGTGTCGACAAGTGCGTTGTGAACGAGCGGAGGCGTCCATCTGCTGTTGAAGAACGATCTTAGAGGGAGCGGGCAAGATACAATCCTAAAGTCCTAGAGGCAATTGCCTCATAGTTGAAGGGAAAAGATAACAATATGTCACAAGATAATGTCATGTCGCTGAACAACTAAGAGAGCAATGGTCTCAGAGGGGGTGAACACAGCCTAAGAATTGAAATTCCTAAGGGCAGTCACACATGAAGGTAGGATAGATCATCAAGCTCATAGTAAGGGAGTGGTAGCGAAGCAAAGCTAGTGACTATAATAGATAGACCATTGAGGCGAGTAATGCTCGAAAAAAGGGTGACACCATGCAGGGTCGACCATGAAATGAGAGTCTGGAATAGGGTGGAGATATGCGTAGTTAAAGGCATGCAATGACTGACACTAGGGTGATGAGGGTAGTGGGTGAGGGGAAAACATGCACACAGCTCACCGATTGGAGAGGGGGCGAGGTTGGGGAGCAGGGAAATCAAGATAACACTACGGTCCTAATATGCCTTTGTGATATCAAAGGAGAGTCCAACTCAGGGGAAACCAGCTGAGAGAGAACCATCAAGCGACATATATAAGAGAATGCATAAGGTAGGGTGGTGGCATGAAGTAGTCACGTCCAAAGTAACTGAAGTCGATAAGATAACTCAAGTCGTCGAAGTGGTCGATGACGTTGATGAAGTAGAAGTCAAGTCGATGTTGAAGCAGAGCCGCAAAACGCTAACATCCGCAAAAAGTTGATGATGTAGTACGTGAAGGTGTAAGTTAGTAGGTGATCAGAGTGTCATTCGTCGAGGATGTGCGTTGTGAACACGTGAAGCCGTTTGTATACTGTTGAAGAACGACCTTAGATGGAGCGGGCAAGATACAATCCTAAAGTGTTGGAGACAATTGCCTCATAGCTGAAGGGAAAAAATAGCAATACGTCATAAGCTAATGTTGTGTCGTTGAACCACTAAGAGAGCGATGGTCTCCGAAAGGGTGAATGCAGCCTAAGAATCACAACTGCAAAGGGCAGTCACACACGAAGGTGGGATAGGTCATCAAGCTCACGGTGAAGGAGTGGTGGCGAAACAAAACCAGTGTCTGTAATAGATAGACCATCAAGGCGGGTAATGCTCGACAAAAGGGTAACACCATGCAAGGTCGACCATGAAAAGGGGGTTTGGAATAGGTTAGAGATATGCATAATTGAAGGGATGTAATGGTCGACACTAGGGTGATGAGGGTAATGGGCGAGGAAAGCATGCATACAACTCACCGACTAGAGAGAGAGCTAGGTCGGGGAGCAGGGAAATCAAGATAACGCTACGGTCATAATCCCTATGCGATAACAAAGGAGAACCTTACTCAGAGAAAACCAGCTAAGTGACAACCATCATTCGACACATACAAGAGAATGCACAAGGTAGGGTTGTGCCGTTAAGTAGTCACTTACGAAGTAGCTGAAGCCGATAAAGTAACCGAAGTCGTTGAAGTGGTTGATGTCGTCGATGAAGTAGAAGTCAAGTTGATGTGGAAGCAGAGACGCAAAGCGCTTACATCTTGAAGAAGTTAATGATGTAGTACCTGAAGGTGTGAGTTAGTAAGAAGATAGTAGGTGATCAGAGTGTTAGTCGTCGAGATGTCGAGAGCGTCGACAAGTGCGTTGTGAACATGCAGAGGTGTCTGTCTTCTACTGAATAACGACCTCAGAGGGAACAGGTTCATCCTCAACAATCTCCTCAGGTGGAGGAGGAGGAAGAGGGTCAGTCGCCTGAATAGGAGCATATGTCTCAGCACAACGAGTACGATCATATGCACGCACCAACGTCTGGGCGTGCTCCAAGTTTTCAAGGGGTTTCCAAGTAGCCCCCTCATCAGAATAGTCCTTCCAACGCACAAGCCTCGAGGTACTCGATGCGTGGAGGGGTATCGTCGGTAACTCGGCGAGAAACGATGTCGGAAATGATGAACTCCTCATGACCGTCCACCATGATAGGTGGAAGGCGTTCATAAGGACGTCCGACGAATCGTTAGGACGGTCTGCGATAAGGACGTAGTAAAGAGACGTGGTATACATCGTGTACGCAAGTCTGTCGATGGTAATCAGGTAGCTTCACACAAAGATTATTCGCAGGCTGATGATCTAAGCAAGACGAAAACTTTTATTGTTGATCAGATTAATGTGTTAAAACTTAAAACTAAGAGTGATTAGTTGGTGATTATATTAGATTAAGTAAGAGTGAAGATAAGTGTGTGCGATAGGATCACGTGTATATGCTGACATTTATAGTGATAATTGCAGTTATGAATTTGTTGATTTTGGTGTCATAGAGTATTTTGGGCAATGATATGCGTGTCTGACATCGTTTGGGTAGGTTATTACCTATATCGGTGTAGCTTTGCACGTACATATACTCGAGTAGGAATCTTTTATACCTGACGGAGCAGCTAAACTAGCTCATTTACCATCACAATGTCAGATTATGCTCATATTAGGGAGAAGCCAGGGATTTTTTTTTTTTTTTTTCGCTATCATAGGACTACTACAAGTTCAAATATGGGAGTCTTTTATGAAAAACGCATTGAATATCCATTATAGTATCCCCCCTTCGATTGGATGACAATTTTATTTTTTTGTTAGTTTGATTAATT